AGGGGGTGGGAGGGATACTGGGACCCGTGGTGGTGGAAAATAGGCACTGGTGGAGGAATGGGTATTTGACCATTGTACAACTGAAATCCAAGCACAAAAATTTGTAAGTCTACAACTGTACGACATGGTGTTTCACTAATAAAATTTAAAAAAAAAAAAGAAAAGAAAAAAAAGGAAAATGTCATGAGATAACTTAATAAAATGATCCCAATGAAATAATTTAAGTAGGACGTTATCACCTATGGACAAAATGCATGTGTATGAAGTATTTGAAGACTTCATTTCACCTAGCCTATTTTCTAACCTCTATATATTAAAGCTACTATAAAACCAGAATAAGAAATATAAATTCCCATATACAATACCAAATTATTTTTTTAACTAGTGTATAGGGAAAATATCCCTCAGAAGTAGGCCAATTAGTTTCTTTCTCTCTGGATTTTTAATTAAATAATATTAGGGCTGGAGCGATAGCACAGTGGGTAGGGCGTCCGCCTTGCACGCAGCCAACATGGCCGACCCGAGTTCGACTCCTCCGCCCCTCTCGGAGAGCCCGGCAAGCTACCGAGAGTATCCGATATGCCAGACACAGTAACAACAAAGTCTCCAATGGAGACGTTACTGGGCCCGCTCGAGCAAATCGACGATCAACGGGAGGGCCTTTCTTGGTGTATTCTTTCTTGGTGTAATATTAGGAAACCAAAAGATACATTATGGTTACATTATTAAAGATTATAAATTTACTCAAAATTTTAAAATAAGCAATTACTGTTCATTTTAAAACATTCATACCAATTTAACACTTATTGGGTTTTTTACTTTTAAAGTTTGTGAATCTTACAGTGTTTTAAGGTCTCTATTACCTATATGGTGAAAAATAAAAACTATTTGAAGTTTAAAAAAAAAAAGAATTGGCTTATTCTGGGGCTAGAGAGAAAAATGTAATAATGGGCTAAAGCACAAGCTTGAGTGCAAGTATGCTTCCCTTCCCCCCCCCCAAAAAAAAACCCGAAACAAATAATCACCTTAATTCAGAAACCTAATCCAAGTTGCCAGCATTAGGTGGTTAAATTGGGTTTTATGTGCTCCTAAATTAGAAATTGGAGGGGTGGGGGATGGGGGGTACCGTAGAGTTTCATGCTTGGCTTGCATGAAGTTTGGTTTGGTGCTTGGCTTGCATGGGTTGATCCCAGACACCCTATATGGTTCCCCAATCCTGCCATGTGTATTGATCCCAGAGCGCAGAGCCTGGAATAAGCCCTGAGCATAGCCAGCTGTGATTCAAAAACAACAACAAAATTTCTGGTTTAAGGTAAAGTTAAAATATACACAAAAGTAGAATGACCCTCATGTAAATGGTTACAAATGTTTCAATCTCAAACACAGTCTTCTCCCTCTTCTAATATCAGGCACATTTCTGAATACCTCAGTATGTAACTCTAAAGCATAAAAAGAGCACCGGTTCCACAAAGATAGGTTAAGTGTGTAATAAATCCCTAAATAGCTAGTGTCCACAGTTCAAATTCTCACTTTTCCTTTCAGCTGATTTTCTTGAATCATAGAGTGACAAATTTGTGACTGTCCACAAATTAGGATTTATAAAGTCTAGCATAGAATTTCGGGCCGGATCGATAGCACAGCAGGTAGGGCGTTTGCCTTGCACGCAGCTGACCTGGTTTTGAGTCCTCCACCCCTCTGGGAGAGCCCAGTAAACTACCAAGAGTATCCCACCCGCATGGCAGAGTCTGGCAAACCCCCCGTGGCGTATTCTATATCCCAAGAACAGTAACAAAAAATCTCACAATGGAGACATTACTGGTGCCCGCTCGTGCAATTCGATGAACAACGGGAGGACAGTACTACAGTGCTACAAGTATCAGTGAACTGGGTTCTAGAGAGCATATAAACTTGCTGCTCTTCCTTTGACTTTTTGGGTGAAAATGTCAAGTGACCATTATAGATCTAGAGTTTAAGACCAGATTTCTAAGCAGGAAGTAGAAAAACACATAAATGTGGGCCTCGGAAATAATACAGTGATACCATACATGTCTGAACGATGTGAAGACTTAGGATCTAAGGTGATTAGAAAGAATATTTGGAATGTAGTGTTGGGGTCATTACTGGTGGCATCACTGTCACTGTCCACCCGTTGTTCATAGATTTTCTCAAGCGGGCCCAGTAACGTCTCCATTTTGAGACTTTGTTGTTACTGTGTTTGCATATTGAATAAGTCACGGGTAGCTTTCCAGGCTCTGCCGTGTGGGCGAGATACTCTCGGTAGCTTGTCGGGCTCTCCGAGAGGGGCAGAGGAATCGAACCGGGCTCAGTCAGGCCAGCTGCGCACAAGGCAAATGCCCTACCGCTGCGCTATCGCTCCAGCCCACTGGTGGTGGTAAGTGTTTTATTTTTAACTTATTTATTTTTAAATCCAGACGCAGCTGTGCTCAGGGCTTACTTCTGGCTTATACTCAAGGGTGACTTCCGGATCCTTTGTGATGCTGGGGATTTATGTGCTTTTCTACTTCCTGCTTAAAAAACCTGGTCTTAAACTCTAGATCTATAATGGTCACTTGACATTTTCACCCAAAAAGGCATTTTTGGCAAGTAGAAATCACAGGGGTTGGTGAATGGTCCATAGGTGTTTGTAAAAAATCATTCTGCAGAAATTCGGTGATACTACCAACCCCTGGAAATGGCTATTGGGCATTTTTACAGTCTGCAAAGAACACTGAACAGGACATGGACATTAAACAAGCAGACCCAGGTATTTCTAGACTATGAATTGGGAGAACTTTCCATTTATCGTTTGAATAACAGATTATATTTGCGTAAAATCACTGATAAATTCACAGGGAAACTGACGCCATATATTTCTATTGGACCTTCTTCAAAATCAATTTCAATATGTTTGACCACAAAGAAATGGTGAACTACTATGAAAATTATTTGTGTTTTAGTGTGTTTGAGTGATTTTTTTTTGAGAAATGCTGTTTATAAGGTTTATAAATAAAGTTTAAAAGATTTATAAGTTCCTGGTTCATATTTGTTGTCTGCCTACTGAAATCCTATAGGGCTCACAGTTTTTTCTTCCCCTTGAGCAAAACCTTCCTGGACTACTAAGCAAGAATTTCGGAGAGGAGAAAAGCTTCACGTCACTGTTCTCCCATTGTTCATCGATTTGCTCCAGCGGGCTCAGTAATGTTTCCATTGTGACACTTGTTACTGTGTTTGGCATACTGAATATATCACAGGTAGCTTGCCAGGCTTTGCAGTGAGGACAAGGTACTCTTGGTAGGTTGCCAGGCTCTCCGAGAGGGGTGGAGGAATTGAACTCGGGTCGGCCAGGTCAGCCTCATGCAAGGCAAACACCCTACCTGCTTAGGGAAAGAAAATCTTGAGTTGTGCTACCCTCTTCTCAAAGGCTGGAGCGATAGGACAGCGGTAGGGCATTTTCCTTGTGCGCAGCTGGCCTGGCTGAGTTCGATTCCTCTGTCCCTCCCCGAGAGCCTGGCAGGCTACCAATAGTATCTCACTGGCACGGCAAAGCCTGGAAAGCTACCTGTGACATATTCAATATGACAAACACAGTAACAGCAAAGTATCAAGATGGAGACGTTAATGAGCCTGCTCGAGAAAATCGATTAACAACAGTAGGACAGTGACAGTGACCCTCTTCTCATATAAACCAGTAACCACCAACATCTTAGCTACTTGATTTTCCATGAACTCATTTATTTGGGGATAACTATTCTGATCATTCCTGCACACACAAAGCAACAAGATAGGGAACTAGAGAACCTGTGGACAGAGATGCAAGAGGAATGACTTCCCACTCAAGGCCCTGTATCAGATTTCTCTCCGGGTTCCTCCACAGCCCAGTGGCCCCCATCTCCACCCACCCCAACCTGTGCCAGGCTCCAGTTTGCTTTCTCCCTTTCCAAGTGTTTGGGGACCCAGAAAACCTGGATGTGCTCATTTCATCTCCTGCCCTAGTAGGCCTGACCTCAGATTCTGTAAGCTACCCATTCCGGTCTTGCATTAACTGGTAAGCTCCCCTCACCTCACAAGCCACAGTGAGTTCCTATTCTCCTCTCCAGTTTTTCTAGTGAAGCCCCCAAACCAGAGTCCCCAATCTACAGCTCCTCTGGTCTGCAGGAGGGCAAGAAATGTGACAGGGAAGAGGCCAATTTCATAGGAGCCAAAAGCAGGAGAAGCCCCCTCCCCCACTTACTTATGGGGTATTTAAGGAGTAGCAGGTGTTGATAATCATTTAACAGCCCCAGAAGAAAGATCTGCCCCCAGAATCGTAAGTCCAGTCCTCAAGATGAAGGGCCACCCTGGGTCTTACTGCCATGAGGAGTAAAACATGAAATGGGGCAAAATAAAGAGAGGTTCTCTAGCATGGCATTAGTCCTCGTACTACACGCTCTCCCCTGGGTTCTTTCTGTGTGACCTGTTGTGTGTTATTTTTAAAAGACTTTTTATTATTTTTGAAAGACTGCTGCATCTGACCTTCAGTTTTCCTTTTGGGGGTTAGCAGTTGTAAAGGAATCACTGTATAATTTTGCTTCAGTTAAACCACTGTAACATATTAACACTAATACCTTTTTAATAAATTTGAACACAAAATGCATGCTATCACTTCCCCCCAAAATCTTTGATATCCAAGCAACCACACCATACACAGATGAATAAAGATTTTTGTCCTTCAATGGAGGGAGGGAAATGTATCTGCCATAGAAGCAGGCTGGGGGTGGGAGGAAAATCAGAGAGATTGGTGGAAGTTAGTGAGCACTGGTGAATATATGTTGGAAAAATATATGCCTGAAACTCAATCTCAAAGGGCTGTCGTTTTGTAAGTTTTGGTAATTCAATTTTAAAAAAAGAAAAGAAAAAATATTTTTTTACTTTCCTTCACTGCACCCCATTCCTCCAAAAAAGATAGGTGACTTCATCATCATTGATGCTTCAAAATAATTTGGGGATAGATTCCCCCTGACTGGGTTGACGAAAGCTGGAACCATGCAGAAAGGCGGAGCTGTGGAGGACCAGCACTGGGACCTTGAAGGCATATGTGTGTCCAGGCAGTTGGCACTTTCAACTGTGCTGATTGTGCTTCTTTGGCCAACTTCTACCAATGCTGGTGTAGGCCCATCTGATTTCTATAACACAAGTACTCATGACAGTGATTTTTGTTTAAGAATAAAGGCCTCCTTTGAAGTCTATCTTTAAGTGTTTCTCTCATGGTCTTCTACATACCTGCTTGTACTCCACACCAATTTTGGAGGTCTCCAGGCATTGTGCTCTTATGTCTGGCTTTATCGTCATCTTCCGGCCAACCATGACTAAAGATGAGTTCTCAGGATATTAAAATCCCAAACGTTTGAGTTAGTGCCTATTAAAATCTTGAAGTAGAGACTCGAGAGATATGGGCGCATATGGGATGCTGGGAATCGAACTTGGGTCAGCCCCGTGCAAGGCAAATGCCCTACCCACTGTCCTATCGCTCCAGGTCTTGGAAGAAAAGCTTTTTAACAGGTTATCAAACCACTGGAAGATATTTCCTCTTGCTTCTTTTGACCTCTCTTTCCCCAGCTATGTCCTGTAAAAAAAGCAAATAATAACAGAACCAGAACATGGTGGGGATTTCCTTTAACGCCCCACCAATCCACAGTGATTAGGAAAAGATCAAGAAAATTTTGAGGTCAAGACAGAGACATTCACAGTTCTGTGGATGATATAGGAGAAAACTTTGACATGCCAACCACCATGCATCCCATAACCTGAATGAAGCCAGAATGTTTTATTTATTTATTTGTTTGCCTGTTAGATGAAAAATAATTCCAAGCCTTCCAGGTAGCCTAAAGATTCTGAGAATGAGCAACTTTTGCTCTGATTTTAGCTGTACCTGGTGTTACTCAATGCTCTGTGCTCAGGGGTCACTCGTAGCAGTGCTTTGGGGACCATATGCAGTGGAATTGAATCTCAGTGGAGAAGTAGAAACTTAAAAATTCAGTTGCACTTTCAGAAAAGAACATTGAACTTGAAACACAGCCTGGTACTACGGTTTTTTTCTCAATCAGTATGGGATTAAGAAACATGAGAAGGTGGGGCTGCAGTGATAGTACAGAGGGTAGGGCGTTTGCCTTGCATGCGGTTGACCCGGGTTCAATTTCCAGCATCCCATATGGTCCCCTGAGCACAGCCAGGGGTAATTCCTGAGGGCAGAGAGAATAGTAACCCCTGTGAATCACCAGGTGTGACCCAAAAAGCAAAAAAAAAAAAAAAAAAAAAAAGAAAGAAAGAAAGAAACATGAGACAGATAAAGGTAGGAAATTCACTGTGGAGATTGGATTTTCAGGATTAGTGGCCTACTCCTTGCCCCTGGCTAAGTACTACTTAATCCCTACTTTCAGAGTATCCTATCAGGATTAATGCAGCTCCCTTCCTTCTGACTGGTCTTTTCTCTAAAGCCCCACCCATCCAACAGAATATAAAAACTCGGGTCAATCACAGTCCTATAGGGAGAGTCAGCTCAACAGCAGCACCAAGGACTCAGCCAGACCTGGGTCACCGATCCAGGTAATAACCAATAAGGGACTGTGGGTTTACGGGAGGCAGAGGGAGAGCATAATTTCCATTCCTAGTGTCTGTTCTATGAGAACACTATTTTTATTGGAGGAAATACTTCACAGAGGATCTGATATCTGTTTGCTTATATGAAATACTATACCTCAGCACCTATCATCCTGGATTATGTTGAGTCATTTCCCCATCTCCAGGACTTTGGTCACAGCTGGGGATTGTCACTAAATATCCAGGGTTCTATTCCATAAAGCCTTACAGAGTTGGCATCTTTGAGTGATTATGGAGAAGGAGAATCTGGTTGCCTTGAGGATGGTGAGCAGGGCCCTGGAAAGCTTGTTCTCCTACTTCCTTGGGAGGGTCTTCTCTTCCTCAGAACACATCAGCTCTTTTAAAGCTGTAGATTTTGCTGGCCAAGAGAGTTATTGAGCTCAATTTCTCTTCATATCCACATTTATTCATGACGGGCTGCTCCTTGTGACTTGAGTCACTGGACAACAGTGGATCAGGCAGTATAAGTCATCAGAGAGGGATCCTCACTGAGAAAGACATTGGGTATACGATAGAGGTCTGAAGGTGTAACATTTTGACAGGAAACCGCCGAGGAGTCCCACATTCAGAGAGTGCCCACGCTATCCCAGTCCTGCCCTTCCCACACCTGAGGATGGAAGAGGTGTCAGCAGTACTGGCCAAAATGCAGTCAAAATGCTTCTGTCCCATCTGCCTGGACTACCTCAAGGACCCTGTCACAATCGACTGCGGCCACAACTTCTGCGACTCCTGCATCCGCATGTCATGGAAGGACCTGCAGGACACATTCCCTTGTCCCGTGTGCCAGCTGGCCCGCCAGGAGATGCGTGTAAGTGCCAACGCCCAGCTGGGCAGGCTGGTGGACCTGGCCAAGAACATGCACAGCTCCGAGAGCAGCAAGATGGCACAGGGAGAGGAGCGCAGGCATGAAGACCACAGGCAGGGGTTGAGCCTCTTCTGTGAGGATGACAATGAGCTGCTGTGTCCCCTGTGTGCCCGGTGTCTTGATCTTCAGAGTGCTGTAGAGGAGGCCACATCCTATCACAGACAGAGGCTCAACAGGTACATCAAGTCACTGAAGAAGCGGTTGGCAAAGGTGCAGAAGCTAAAAGTCACCCATGATAGAAAGATTCTTCAACTGACAGAGGAGGCCAGAATGCTTAAGAGTCAGTTGGCTTCAGAATTTGAGCTGCTCACCCAGTTTCTGGAGCATGAGCAAGAGGCAGCTCTCCGCAGGCTGGCAGAAGAGGAAAAACGGCTGCAGCAGCAGCTCAGGGCCAACCTGGAGGCCTACTCGGACCACATCTCGGCGCTGAAAGAACTCAGACGGGAGGTGGCCGAGCAGAGCGTGATGTCCGAGGAGATGGTGCTGAGGGGGGTGAGGGGCCTGCAGCAGCGCTGGGCGGGCCTGCAGCCCCCGGCAGTGCAGCCCCTGTGCTTCAGGCCGGTGGCTTACAGTCTCCCTCCTCTGTGCTCGGCACTCAGCAGCATCATCCGGAGATTCCGAGAGAGCATCAGCCTGGACCCACACACGGCCCACCCCAGCCTGCGGGTGTCTAAAGATAAAAAGTCTGTGACCTGGGTGAGGAAAAATCCCAAGCTTGGTGGGGATCCAGGGCTACCGGAAGATGCAGCCGAGCTGGTGGTCCTGGGCCAGGAGGGCTTCGCCTCTGGCCGCCACTACTGGGAGGTGCGGGTGGGCGCCAAGCCCGAGTGGGCCGTGGGCGTGTGCAGCGTCGTCCCTTCGGCCCAGACCTTGCGGCCTCTGGCGGCTCCCAAGAGATGCTGGACGCTGCAGCTGCAGGACGGCGACTACCTGGCCGTGAGCGCGTGGGCCGTGCCTCTGGCTCTCAGGGACCAGCCCGCAGCTATAGGCGTTTACCTGGACTGGGAGCTGGGCCAGCTTTCCTTCTACAATGCCACCGACAGGTCTCTCCTGTACTCGTTCACTGAGCCCTTTGCTCAAGAGCTCAAGCCATACTTCCGCGTGGGGCGTGACTGCACCCCTCTCTCCGTGGGCGTGGGGAGGGCTTAGGAGCTTGATCCCTGTTTCTGTTTTCCTCCTGTAATTACTTTATAGAGTAGGTTGTGGATTTTGCAATGATCACTGTGTCTTATTTAATTCAGTTGTCATCGAATCTGGCATGATTTTTTTGAAAAGTATTCATTTCACTTTCAGGGAAGAATAGCATTGTTTTTTTCTCTGTATTTTTTTTTTTTGGTTGGATGGTGGTATGGGTAGGTGGTAGATCCCATCCCTGAATGTTCAGATGTACTACCTGGAGATGGTCCTAAGACTTCTTTTGTTATGTCCCATGCAGGATTATATAAATTTATTTTTCTGCAGCTCAACCATGCTTGCTCAGCACTCACCCTCACAAAAACCGGTGACTTTTCAGGAAATTCCTCACTGTGGAAATAAGTTGTCCTGGTTACACTGGGCTTGAAGCACATTTCCAATAAAGGCGTTTTTTTATTCAGTTGCTTGTGTTTTCTGTTGTTTCTTTCTTTGACTTGATCATTTGACTTCCCATTAATGGTCGATTTGCTCCAGCGGGTGCCAGTAACGTCTCCATTTCTCCCTGTCGCGTGCTAGCGTAGCCCAATGGTGTCTGTTCATTCTAGGAACACAACAACCTCAAACCAATCGTTTAGGGTCTTAACGAAGAAGTCCCGTGGAATCCAGTCAGTAAACCGGCTCTAGTCCAGCGGTCATCTCCAAATCTCATTACGTGTCCAGCCCTTCTGATTTTTGACGCCTTGGTAAATAAGACAGCATCCCTGATAATTGATCCTCAAAGGAGGTCGGAACTCCCGGATTCTTTCTCTCATTTGAGTGAAACACGATACTCCAAGCATAGCTCTTTCAATGCCTTGTTTCTTAGACTAGTATATAAAATTTCCTGTCTGAGTTCCAATAGTTTTCATATATGTATTTGAAATACTTTAAAGTCTCCTTTTTTTGGATGACCTCTTTCAAAGTGTTTCAGGTGGGAACAAGAAGAGTGATTAGTGACCCATATTTTCCCATGAATTGGTATAGAGCCATTTAAATCCTTTAGAGAAACTATGCATTTGTGGAGGGAGGCAATGATAGGTGGGGATGATCTCTCCACACTGAGGAAAGGGAAGTCTGGATTCCTGTCTCCTTCCAAAGCAAATGTCAGGGAGGTGCACTTTTTATTTTATTTATTTATTTATTTTTCCTTTTTGGGGTCATACCCAGCGATTCTCAGCGGTTACTCCTGGCTATACACTCAGGAATTACTCCTGGCAGTGCTCAGGGGACCATATTGGATGCTGGGATTCGAACCCTGGTCGGCCGCATGCAAGGCAAACTCCCTACCTGCTAGGCAATCACTCCAGCCCCAAGTTTCACTTTTTAAGGGAAACATGATTCCTAGGTTCCATTTCACACAAGACTGAAGAAAGTTTATCCAGCTCAAGGATCTTTGTAAACTTGAGTTTCCTGGACACAAAGAGGAATGTTTGTTGGCATTGCCATGAGTATGGACTTTGAAGCAGACCTCAGCTGCATTTCCCCAGGGGGCAGGGGCTGACTCCTTGCTTAACTTCTGATCAAGCAGTTTTACTTCCCCTGTCAGTAAGAGAGGTATTTCCAGATTTAATTATTTGCCTCTTGTTTTCTGGGCCCCAAACACATTTTGTGCTTTTCAGCATTCACACAGCAACCAGCTCTAGTTGTGGGCACC